AGACCGACTCTATGATTCCAAGACTTTTAAAGGCATCCACCACAGTTTTATTAAAAACTGATTGGATTATCTTGTCCAAACCAATGGACCTCAGTAACTCAACTCATTGCCATTTAGTTGGAATCAGCTCATAGCTAACCCTCCATCAGGTATTCAGAAATTGTAAATCACATGGGAGGAAATTGCCCATCTTTCTCTCTTAGAGCAGCTCGTGGGTTAGAACTACCTGCCTTTGGGTTGTCAGTACAACTCTTTACCAACTAGGCCTCCAGAGCTTCCAATGACATTCTTGCTGTTATGTGTCCTCAAGTCAACTATGACCCTTAGTGATTCTATGGACAACAGACCTGAACCTGGCCCTGACCTGTACCATCCTCACACGCTGTCATGAGCAGGCCCACTGGATAGTGACCACATCATTCCATCTCATTGTAGGTCTTCTCTTTCACCCATCCTCTCTCTTTCTCAGCATCATCTCTCTCTATAAGGACTAGTTCCTCCTGAATGTATGCCTAATGTAACTGAGACGAAATTTCACCATCCTTGCCTCTAAGGAGCACTCTGGTTGTATTACCTTCAAGACAGATTTGTCTTATCTTCTGACAGTCTATGGGTTACTTAGTATTCTTCCAGTACCACAATTCAAAGATAGTGATTCTTTGGTCATCTCTATTAATTTTTTTTCAACTTTCAGATACATAGGAAGCAATTGAAAAGACAATAGCGTGATCAGGTGCACCTTAGGCCTTAAACTTACATCCTTGCTCTTTAAAACTATCTTTAGATAGGTCCTTGGCACCGCTTTCTCCCAAGGAACACATATTTTGATTACTGGACCATTACTACGAAGAGTATTTGTTGTGATCTTAAAAGTGTGTATGTCTAAGGCAGATAGAAAGAGAGTGATAAAGGCAGATTTAGGAGGTGAGTAAGCCTAAATTTTGAGAAGTCAGTCTACAGTTGGATATACTGAAACTTTGAGAAAAACCACTTTAAGTTTCTTCTTAATTTTTTATCATGATTTGAGAGAAAAGTTTACAAAGTAAATTGGATTTCACTCAACTGTTCTATATGCATTTTGTTTTATAACACTAATTACTATACCCACAATGTAATCACACTGGTCTCACTTGCTCTCTGTAATTTTAATTTCCAATAATTCTTCTATCCTACCTTTATGTCTTTAACCTTAGGCAAATGCTATTCTTTTCACCTTATATTGTTGGTTTTACTAGGGAGTGAGTGCCACCCATTCCCACCCCCATGTTATGGTTATCTTAATAAGCCCTGTCTATTGTCTGACTGAAAATTTAACAATGAGAGTGAGGTTCCAAGTTCAAAGGATGGCTATAGGCCACATAGTCTCAGGGTTTCCACCAGTCTCTTGCAGACCAATGTTCTTGTTACATGCTATGGAGTTGAAACCAGACTTAAAGCTGACCCACCAGTGGGTTTTCAGAGGCTGTAAATCACACTGGAGGAAAGTGTCCATCTTTTCGTGGAGACCATGGAGCAGCTGATGGATTTGAACTGCCGACCTTTGGTTTGGCAGCACAACTTCTAACCACTAGGATGCCAGAGTTTCCTGAGCTCTGTAAAACCAATAAGCCTCGTCTTTAAAAAATATTTTTATGTTCTGTTCCACACTTCCTCCACCCACCTCACCCCATTCTATCCAGGGCCTTCCATTGAGATTCCATTTAGAGCAGTCAACAGTAATTTAAATCGCCTTGGTTTTTCTTGCTTCTCACATCTGGGTACATTTTTCTGCTCACTTACAACTCCTTGATAACGAAGGAGTGGAACGAAATGGAATAGAAGCAGAAATAGTAGAGGAAATGAAAATCAATTTCAAATTACCCTTTTTCCAAGGTTCAATGGAATGCTTGAATAAGAAGGAAGCTGGGGATTTTGGTAAAGACGAACGTCTACTACCCTATATTTCAATACACACCCGAAGGACTGTTATGCACAGTGCAGGAGGAATTAACATGGCTTGCAAAACCCATACAGTACCCTATTATGTGCATAAAAACTGGACATTGCTCTGTATTTGTAGGATTTCTAATTTAAGGAGTTCTGTTGATTGGAGTAATAATGGCTATGATGATAGTGACTAAAATCCAGTAGACGAATGTGTGCATGTACAGTATGTTTTGTAGGCCAGCCCTAACTTAGACACTATCAAAACTGATTTAAAAAAAAAAAAAAAGTCACACTGAGCTTCCTTTCTAGAACATGGAAGAAAATGATGCTCACATTCCCCCTCCTTGTTTAAAGTATTTCCTTCCTAGGAGGTTTTAGTCATGAGGGGTTAATTAGCTCAATGCCCAGGGTCAATGTGGTGGCGTTCAAACTTTATTGCTTCTAAAGTACTAACTGCTCAAAATGCTTACAGGAGCAGGGATATGGTGGACTCTGGTTAGGAGGTGGAACTCTCTTTCTCTCTCTTGGTAGGGCGCGAGTGATAGAGGACAGAAATTCTACAACCATGCAAGATGAGGGTGTGAGAGTGTGTGTGTGTGTGTGCGCGCGCGCACGCACGCCCCACCTTCTTCCTCTCCACTTTTTCTTCCTTTCCTCCCCAGTTCCCTGTGGTCCTCCCTCTGCCTCTCTCTACTTTCCCGGGTCCCCTTTTCCCTCCTCCGCCCTCCGCGGCGTCAGCGTCAGGCCGGGGTAGCGTGACGCGCGGGGTCTGGGTGGGAGCTGTCCACTGGCCCCGGGTGCTGAATGCAGCAGCAGCTCGAGGCCCTCGGGGAGCCTCCTGCAGCCTGGGCGAGAGGAAGCCGGGGGCTTGCGGGGCTTGGCCGGTCAGCTCCCCTCCCCACCACCTCTCTCCCGGCACCACCTCTTTGGGAACTGAGCCAGGGGGGGCGGCAGTCGCAGCGGCGGGTGCTGAGCAACGGCGGGAGACCAGACCGCACCTGGCAGCAGCTTGGAACCCGATTTGCTTTTCTTCTCGCCTTCCCCCCCACCCCCACACCTTTTTTTCTGGAGAGATGCATTTATGTCCGATGTTGGGGAGTCGCGAGCACTAAGCCAAGTGCCCAGTGCCTCCCAGCTCGGCAGCGTCGCCCCGCAGCCTCCGCCGCCCCACCTCCAGCCTCACCTCGGTGCATCTGCGAGGAGAGGTAGCAACGGCGAGCGCGGCCAGCGGCGCGCAGCCAGCGGCGGAGGGAGGGCCCGGAGGGGGCAGGGAGCAGGCCCAGCCCGCCCTCCTCCGCCCCCAGCCCCCCGAAAGCACTCTCTGCTGACTATTGGAGAACCGCATTCTCCCCCTCGCGTCTTTGCCTCGCTCCGCGGCCGCCCCCACCCCCACGCCCGCCTCGTCTCTGGTTGCATGGCAGCGCGGCCCGGGCGCGGGGGCTCAGGGCCGGCCCCCCGGGAAGGAGGAGGAGGAGGATCATGAAGCCGGGAGCCGTGGCCGCGCCGGACGGCGGGCAGCAGCCAGACGACGAGCCGGAGCAGCCCCCGCCCCGGAGACACCCGGACGCCGCCGAGCAGCCGCCACCGCTGCCACAGCAGGAGCTCGGGCGGCCGCGGGCGGAGGGGGAGGACGCGGACGAGGAGGGTGTCCATCACCCGGAGCGGGAAGCGAAGAGGGCGGCGAGGCCGCGCGCTCCTCCGGACCTGCCCTTCTCTGGGTCCTCGCCCCTCGCCCCTAAGGGCCTTTGATGGAGCCAAGGGCAGAGGGGCCGCGGATTTCCAGGCTACAGCATGGGTGGGCGAAGGGCGGAGGTCATGTAACTACTGCTTCCTTCTGTCCCCTCCCACAAGCCCCTCTTTTCTACTTCCACCTCTCCCAGGATCTTAAAGCTCAGGAAGGAAGGCAGCTTGGCTAGGTTTAGGTGATCTCTCCTCTCCCCCACCCCACCCCCTTCTCCCACCGCCTTTTTCCAGCCTCTAGGCCCTTGTCTTGTGTTTCCACATCTTCTCTAGCTCTCTTCTATGCTGCCTTTTGACTGCAGAGGCAAAGCACAAGCCCCTTCCCAATCTCTCCTGGAGCCACCTCCCTCAGGCCCACCCAGCTGCTCTCTTGCAAGCAACTCTGGTGCTACTGGTGTTAATGTCCCTAGTTTTCTGTCCGGGAGAGTTAAAACTTCTCTCTCCCCTATCCCCCTCCTCAACCCATTTCCTACTGAGAAAGCCTTTTTCTCTCTCGCACATACAGCCCCCAATTCTTCAGTGAGTTAGTTTGCCCTAAACCCAGCCCAATCCATGCCACATCCACTCTCCTTCTACAGAAAAGGAAGAGATTTCCCCACAGCCTAGGAATTTGAGACAAGCCCCACATTTCCTAGCCAACCTCTCCGGGGAAACTTTCTAACAATTACATGTTGATTTCAAGGTCCTGACAGTTCATCCTGAACATTTCTCCCAACCCCCCTGCCCCTATCCGTGCTCCCCCCCTGTCAAAGGTAGAAAGGAGACACCCAGAGTAAAGTCTGAGGTGGGGGCAGGGGGGAGTGGGCCAGAGGAACTTGGTTGCTCTTTCCTTCCACAGCAGAGTCTGATCTGTGACTCAGAGCTCCGGTTGTGGGGGCACTTTGTTTGCTGCTTGGAGGGGGGTGTGAAAAGCCAGTGAGATAGCAGATTGACCTTGCAAACGAGACACATTGTGGACCCCAGCCCCTTCTCCCCTACCCTGTGAAGACTTGGCTGCCCCTCCTGGGCTCTCTGCCTCCCTTGGGCACATGCTGATGCCCCTGAGTGGGCTGCTCTGGTGGTGCTGTGGCTGCTGGGGCTGCTGCTGTGGATTGTGCGCCCCTGTCCCCCAGATGTTGCGCCACCAGGGTCTCCTCAAGTGCCGCTGCCGCATGCTCTTCAATGACTTGAAGGTTTTCCTGCTGCGGCGCCCCCCTCCAGCCCCCCTGCCCATGCACGGAGATCCTCAGCCCCCTGGTTTGGCAGCCAACAGTAACACCCTTCCGGCTCTGGGGGCCGGAGGGTGGGCAGGCTGGAGGGGCCCTCGAGAGGGGGTAGGCAGGGAGACCCCTCCACTGCCACCTCCACCACCTTTGCCACCTTCTTCCGTGGAAGATGACTGGGGTGGCCCCGCCACAGAGTCGCCGGCCTCTCGGCTCAGCAGTGCTTCCTCAGATGACTTCAGTAAGGGGAAGGCTGACGATCGCTACTCAGTGGGCAGCAGCCTGGACAGTGGGATGAGGACTCCGCTCTGCCGCATCTGCTTCCAGGGGCCGGAACAGGTAAGTGCTCTTCACTCTTCTGCTCCTGCCGAGAATCTGCAGGTCTTACCGATTGCTATTTGTCCTGGGAACCATTTTTCTGTCTCTAGGGTGAGGGCTCTAAGTTCCAAGAGCTCCTTAGTGCTGTTTCTTGTGATTAAGTTTGTTCAAAAGGCAATTGGTTCCGGGTGGGACCTCTTTGGTTGCCTATTTTTTGTGTTTTCTTTCCAGTGCCAGTGTGTCCAGTTCCCATCCCCTCCCAATTTCCATAAGTATCCTCAGAATAGATCCATAAATCAGAAGTCATGAAATGAGGGAACGTGGTGCCCTCTGAAAAGCGTGTTGAGTTCGTCCTTTTCCTTAGCCCCACAGACTGAAGCCTTATAAGCTTGGTCTTTGCTTTGAGACACCTCCACCCCTCCCATATGACACTGACATCCTCAGCAACATGTTCTAGTCGCTGAGGAGGAAATGGAGAGGAATCCTAGGTCCCAGAAGACTATTCAGTGTGCACGATGCTTCTTGGCAGACTCAGGTTTTTCGAGGTTGGAAAGAAACAGGAAAGTGGGGATGGGTGTGAGTGAGTTTCAGGGACTGAGAAAAAGGGAATAGAGACTCTTGTTAAATCTACTTCCTTTTCTCAAGCTGCCGTATCTTGGCTTCAAATGTGCCTCATAGTCTCCCCATCAAGGATCTCATGGACCATATCTTCCGAAGTGTGGAGGATCTTTCGAGTTGCACACGTTCAGATGTTCAAAGACTTGCTCATCCTATCCCACTTCTTCTCCTTTCACTTCCAGTCTCGTGTCTGAAACTCTTCTATGTACAGAAACTCTCTCTGTACAGTTGCCTAGTTCTAAATTGTGGTGACACTTGCCAAAGAATCCTGAATGGGAAAGCTCCCCTGAAAACCTGATATTGTCAACAACGCTGGAGAAAGAACTTCATGGCAACCTTGGCAGTGTCAGGGTTCACACAGCCACTTCTTCAGTACTTTTTCTCAGGTGGAGGGAGGGCTTCTGGATGCTTTGTGAAGACGTGGCAGCACGATAGGATGTCACTGGTGTTCCTCAGTGTCAAAAGTCCTTGCTGGAGGCTTGTTCTGTGAGAACAAGCCTAAGATGCAGGCTCAGATGACCTTTTAATTTATTTTTGCCTTTATTCTGTGTGGACAAAACGTGTCAGGGACTGGTGATGATGATGGAGGCACTAGTTTGGGAATTATGAAAGGAGACAATACAGATCGTGGTGTGTATAAATGCATCTGAGATACTGAAGACCAGGTACTGCTTTCTTGTGGTCAGGATTACTGCCTTTCCAAATTCAGTGCTGCCCTGAGCTGAGGTGAGAGGGTGCAGAGGGCTGAACGCTTCCCTCCCCCAGTGCTCCTTGCCAGTCCCAGCGCTGGCTTCCTGTGTAGCAACACAGTGGAGAAGCTTGGCTGTGAGCGGTCACCAGCCTCCCGGTGTCTCACTCTGTGGTGTTCAAGTTCCAGGTTTTGCTCCAATAATGAGCCTTATCTTTTCCCAAAGAAGGAGCTTTTAAGCCTCCTTAATTTCCTGAAGCTATTTCTCTCTCCTTCCATATGGGCTGGCTTGGGTCTGCATGTCATAGGGGACACTGCCAGTCTGGCTTCTGGCACGAACACCCTGGTTTCTAGAAAATGGCAGGACTTGGAGCCTGTCCTGGAATGATATTTCACCTGCTTTGTGAACGTCTCCAAATTACTTTATGCCTCTGGGCCTGGTTTCCTACTTCTCCAAGGTAGAGGCACTCTCCCCCTCCCTGTCTTCTTCCTTTTTCTATAAGATCCAGAAGATAATGGGTGTGAGAAATGTCTTGAAAAAAAAATTGAACATATAATGAGCATGTTGAGAATGGAAAAGCTGTATTTTATCAAAAAGAAAAGAAAAGAGGTGATTTGCAGTGTTGCAGAATGCCCTCACCTAGTTCAGGATCTGGTAGGAGGTAAGGGACTTCCCTTTCTGTTCATTGTTTTCAAGATGTGTCCCAAATAATACACTGAATGAAAAAAAAAATCTATCACCTATAAAGGAGTGGCTTTCTTATAACGTGGGAGGATGAGGGGTCATGGTGCGTTAAAACTGGGTCAAATCCAAGTACGGTGTAACCTCTAAGAGTGGAACTCAGCTGAGCTGCCTTGTCCACCAGGGCTTTGCAAGTTTTCTGCCTCTGACAGAACACAGTTTAACCACTTTGCTAGCGTTCGTCCCTAAGTGGAAAATATTTGCGCTTTCCTTTTTTGACATGTTTTGCCTCACACTGGTTCCAGTTTTCGGAGGTTTTATTGTGCATGCTGCATACGGCCATTGTGTTTTAGGGGTTCACTGAATCTGTGCAGGTGCCGGAGGTTTGGATGAAATTCTGCTCTCCTAGTAATGACAGTGATAATGGATACTGTGCTGATGCGATGTGAACACATTTCCCCACCTGTCTTTCGTTTTTCTTCACAGCATTTCAGCAGCGAAGGGAGGCAGAGAGGGGAGGGGGATAGAGAATGCTCTCTGGAGAAGAAAGAGGAATGGAGAAAGTAAAAGGCGGAGATTTCAGTATTTGGGTTTCTGTTCTGAAGCAGAGCTGCCGAGCGCTTGTCCACACGTGGCCCTGGTGGGTGTGGAGACAGTCCACAATCTTAGTTACTGAGTGTCTTGGTATTTTCCAAACAAAGGAACTGTATAGGCACCCAGCCATCTGCCACTGCTCCGGGGTCTACATGGGCGCTGTTTAGAAAGATTGGGTGTGTAGTGAGAAGGTCCCAGTGAGGTCTACCTTTGCACACATCTACAGAGGGCTTTGCAGCTCGTTGTCTGTGCACACTCTTGTTTAGCAGATGCTTCTTGTGCATCGACCACGTGCTAGGCATTGTTTTAATGAGTATCCAGGAGCAAACAAAACAGATGAGATGCTGTTGTTTTGAAGCCGACATTCTAGTGGGCATATAAATAGACAAGTAGACTAGAAGGCCAATAACATGCTTTCAGGTGACACCACATGAATTCTCCTAAAACAGGTAAATGAGTTAGACAAGGATGAAAGGGAGGGTGTGGAGAGGTACACCGCATCAGCAAGGGAGATGAGGAACAGATTCCTTAAGAATTGGAGCTGACACTGGAATGATCAAAGGACCCACCTATGCATAGGTCTAGGGAAAGAGAATTCAAGGTGGAGGAAAAAGAAATTCAAATGCCTGAGTGGGAACCAGCTTGGCATATTGGAGAGGCAGGAAGGAAGACAGGTGAAGGGAGAGGAATGGGGGCAGAAACAAATGCTTTGAAAGTCAGAGAAAAAAGCTGTCTAAGGACCCACTTGCCTTTTCTCTGCCATTCATTCAGGTTGTAGGACAAGCACTCAGTTCACGATCTCTCCCTCTCCCGTCTTGGTTGAGGCTGCATTAGGATACTTCAGGGCATAGTGTACTTCGGTGGGTAAGTCAAGGTCTCTGAAACCGGATAGCCCCAGTTTGAGGTCTGAACAAGTGTCACACCCTCTGTGCCTCAGGTCCCCCAGCTGTAAAACTGGGACAGCAACGATAGACTCCATTTCATAAGGTTATTGTGCACATCGAATCAGTCAATACTATTCTAGAAGTGCTGGCTTAGTATTTTGTTATTGCTACAGCTGCCATCATCATAATTATTATTATGGCCACAGAGGCAAGAGAGTAGTCCCTCTGCCTTGCTTAAAAGGAGTCTGCCTTGACTTGCAGACTGGCAGGAGGACTTCTATGATTGTGGTCTGCTTGTGGTAGTTGATTGCTCCTTGAGTATTCATGATTCTGTAGGCACCGAATACGGCTCTCTCTTTCTAGGATCAAAGTCTTTATTAAGTGCCTGTCTATACCTGCTGCTCTGCTGAGCAGGATCGAGAGACACAGGGCAGCTTTGCAATGTGGCCTTGCCCTCTGGGAGTCCCACAATCTCACCCAGACATCACAGAGGCTGGTAGAGATCAAGAACACACAGACGGAGAGCTTGACGTGAATGCCAGTAATGTTGGGTACAGGAAAGAGAAGTGTGCTTAAAGGCAGCTGGTGGATGAGGTGCCTATTCAGAGAGACAAGTGGGGGAATTTGCTACCTTTCCCCTTATTAGTTAGAGGAGGTTCCTTTGTTGCTGCTGAAGATCAAGAGAGAAGAAATAGGCGTAGGCTGTGAGGCTGAGGTTAGAGAGCTGGAAGCAGAAGAGAAGTGACACGTGGGCATCTTGACAAAGAGACAAAGCTTCCTCCTTGGCTGGGTCAGTTGTGGATGATGATGAAAGCCACCCAACAGTGAAGGGGCCTCACTTATAATAGAAAGCAGGACATGAGAATCTTTGCAATGGCGATCAAGTTCAGCGTCAGTAGGAGGCATCAGGCCAGCGGCCTTCATTGTCTTAGCACTGTGCTTCAGTTGTACATTTCTGTTCCCACGGAGAGAGGTGCACCCTAACATTTATAGCCCTGAGGGAAAGTGTATAGATTGAAGCTCAGGTAGAACAGGTCAAAGAATTGAAAAGGAATAATTCAAGCTGACACACTGAGAAACAACATATTACTTTTTTTTCCTTCTACTAGTTTATTTAAAAAACTCAAATACAAATTCGAACAAATTCTTTCAATTTCCCTCACCCCCACACACATCAAATTGTACAACCCAGTGATTAAGCTCCTCCGTCTCCCTGCACATCCACATCCCTCTGCATGACCCAGGTATTCCATTACTTGGAATATACCCTGGGAGTATGAGAATTGAGGCACAAACTGAGATTTGTACACCAATGTTCACAGCAGCAGTATTCACCATCACAAGAACATAGAAACAGCCCAAATGTCCAACTACAAATGAATGGATTGAGAAATTATGGTACATTCACTCAATGGAATACTATGCAGCACACAGGAGCAATTACTTTGTAAATTATTACCGAACTTGGGAGGGACCGGAGAGCATTAGGCTGAGTGAACTAACTCAGTCTCACCAGGATAAATATTGTATAAAACCGTTGTTGTAGAATGAGTAT